CCAGTGCACTTCAGGGGTGGGGGGGGGGGAAACCAAAAACATTTCAAACCCCCCCCCCCCCGTGGAGCATTCAAGCATTGGCAGGCTCTGCAGCCAGCCAGCCAGGATCTGGAAGGGAACCCGAGTCTCCCTGGTTGTGACCACCAGCAAATTTGGCCCCCCTTGTAAATCCAATCCAGTCCATTTGACAAAGTACAGCCCTGTTCACCCAGGCATCCCGAAACACCTCCTGCCAAACAATTAAAGCAGGAGGAGCATGAACCCTGCCCTCCTTCAGCTCAGGCCAGGGGAACATCATCTTCTCCTCCCCGATCCCCGTTGCAGCCTCTTGTGAAACAGGCTCCGATTCTGCCCTCGCATCGGACGGGGACACTTGGGAAAGTTCATTCTGCGTAAAACGGACCGCTAACGCCCATGCGAAACCCCCACCTCAATTTCAGGTTTCCTCCTTAAGAATCTGAGTAGTCTTGGCCTGGCTTGGCTTAATTTAATTGCCTAGAGAAGTCAGCTCCCCAATCCAGACACCTCCAATCAGAACTAAAGTGACAGTGAGATCTATTTAAAAAAAAAAAAAAATCTATAAAATCACAACTCCTGTGAGAACGAGGGAAGACGCAGGAGCGATTTCAAAAGTAGAGTTTAGGAGGTTTAACTAATCCACATTAAAAAATTAATTTGGGTCAACTTTCCTGAGGGCCCCCATGTAGACAAGCCCTTAAACTGGGGAAAACCAGAAGTAGCTTCACCAGTGCTGCACTTGCATAGATGGCAGCAACCTGGCTTTGAACTGCAATGGAGGGAGGTAAAAGTCTGGACCATTTTGCACCCCCAGCACTTGTTCTTGCCAAGGCACTGAGCAGATTAGCTTGCACTGAAGCCAACGGGAGAAAAAAGCTCTAGATGTATTGCAGGACCAGACCCCAAACTGGTGCATAAGTCTTGTGCCCTGTGCATCTCTTCACTCATGCTTTCCCCAGCTTGCTCGGTTGAGATGATCAGCAGGCAAGGCTGACAGTGCGCACATAGCACAAAGGAGCCTCCAACTCAGGACTGGAATAATAGACTTCACCACTGAATGCAACCCAGGGGCTTACATGGGGATCTGCACTCCCTGACACCAGGCTGAATTCAGCCAACGCACAAGCTAAGGGATGCTGAGATGTGGTACCATTAAGTGGCATAAAAACATATCAGTCCTCAGCCCTGCAGTGTGGCTGGGATGGAAATGAAGAAAGAAAGAAATATATGTCCCACTCAAACACCTGAGGCAGATTCCTGACCAAAGACCACTATTCCAGCAACACAAGTGAAAAGCCCTGTGACAAAAAAGCATGACTTTTCTCCTGCTTCCCCATTGTTTTGGGCGAATATGGGGGTTTGAAGGACAGCAGTAAATGTGTTCTATTAACTTGGGCATTATG